CGAGTTGTTGTCAAGGGCTTAGGTGGTGGTATTAAACAGAAATACCATTGGGTTGATCTAAAACGATTTGGACCTACTGGTGAACACGATGCTCCCCGAATTGACCGTGTCTTAGAGATAATGGACTGTGGCTGTCGAACTGCAAAAGTTGCATTGGTTGGTTGTGGCACACATTTAAAATATATTATTGCAACTGTTAATATGAAACCTGGAGATATGTTGGTCACATCTGGTTACATTCCTCGGATYCCAGGTATTATAATAATAAATAAATAAATAAATATCTATTGCAATTCAATATTTTTAGCATATTATTATATTCATTCCTTTAAAATTTATTGTTACTGGTATACCTATTTATAGTTAATCCAAATGAAGGAGATGCATATCCACTTGGTGCACTGTCCAAGGGAACAAAAGTTCACTGCATTGAAAAGATGCCAGGTGAAGGGGCTCATTATGTAATGACAGCTGGATCAACAGCTACTATATTGAGGCAAGTTGATGACAGAGTCATTATTCAGTTACCATCAAAATTACAAGTATCACTTTCTAAATATTGTATGGCGTCGATTGGTAAGTCTTCAGTTATTTAAAACATATCAATAATCTGTTTATTATTTTTACATACTTATCTTGGATGTATACAATGTAAACCCATCTATCTTCAAATAGGCAGTGTTCGACTTGGGGAGGGGCTCAGGGGGATGGAATACCCCAAYTTATTTTTCAGAAATATTAGTGTTCTCCTACTTTTATTTTTAAGAGGTACCCACAGGATGTTACATCATTTTACATTTTTATCAAAATGCACTTSATAACATATTTTTTTTCTATGCAAACTCTTGGATATGAAATGGTAAAAGAGATGAAGAAGAAAACKGTTGTCCAAAAAGGATCAAATTGGAAGATAGGAAATAACATATCTATGATAAATTATAGAATTTTAAATAAATAGTTAAAATTAATTGTTTTTTATTTAGTTATTTTTGAGTTTGTTATTATATTTTATAAGTTATAACTATAATATAAAATATAGTATATACAGTCATTTTTTTAAATTTGATTATTTATCAATATTTCTTATATGATTTGAAGAGGGGCATTAGTGACAAGTGAGTGTGAGGCTAAGCCCCACACAGCTTAGTAATGTTTAACAAGTGATGGATACRCTCTTTATTTAAAGTTAATGAGAGAGCCCCTCTACTTTAATATTGCCAAGTCGAGCACTGCAAATAGGTATATTTATATTGCCATAAAATAAAATAATCTCCTTAGTCCTTACAGATAAATCGATAAATGGTAATATCTAATAAATAGGAAATTGACAAATATTTAAATTATACAATATATTTAAAAAAATCTAAACATTCAAATTAGATTAGTGTAAAAGATTTATACGTAAAATTATTAATGAATAAACATCTGTTTTCAGGACAAATATCGAATGCAAATCACTTCAAGGAACACATTGGCAGTCCCAATCGTAACCGTGAATTGGGAAATCGTCCTCGGTCTGGATTGTGGCAAAGAAAAACAGGTCGTTTTGGTCGTAAAATCAGACCCCCACCACCGTTAAAAATTGTAACTGAACTTGCTCCAAAAAAAATGGAAAAAGTTACACTAGAACTAAGTGCTTTGTTTTGAAACTTTTGTAATTAGCGAATTTAACAATTAACTGTAATGTCAAAGTATATGTGTAAAAATAAAATAAATTTATATTTATATTTATAATCTAATTTTATTAATGACTATTGTACAGAAAAACCTTAAAAACAAAAATGATCTAATATTATTCAATCTAAGAATTTGTTTGTGTTTTTTTCACAACATGTGGTAAATCAAATTTTCCTCTAACACAAGTTATTTTTACACCRGGCAAATCTTTACACCGCCCGTTGCGCACTAAAACTACGTTGTGTTCTTGTAGATTATGCCCTTCACCRGGTATATAAGCAATCATTTCCTTGCCATTACTCAGTCGCACCAAGACACACTTTCTGTTGGCCGAATTTGGTTTCTTAGGTTTTCTTATCAATGTTTTGAGTATAACACCTTTTAAAAATGGATTGTCACCCAACGGATTCCGTTTGAACATTGGTTTTTTGTGAGGGCCAGTTTTGTGCATCTGATAAAGCGATGCCATACTTCTAGTCGTTTCTCCCACTGAGCGATATGAAAATAAAATTCTGACTGTTAATTTAAAATTTTTCAATTATTAGCTTATGATAACACTTACGTGATTTATTGAGTACTAAATTTTTCATCCCCTGTAGAAGAACATTCATTTTGGAATAATTTTGTTAAACTTAGATTAATAATGTAGTTCTTTCTTCTACGATTTGAATATTTGATAGTTTGATACTAATTATTAAGTCTTTTGAATTTTTTCATTATTGTGTGATTTACTTTAAAATTGAGTATTGATAGTATGTATGTACTTAATTTGATAATAATTTAAATTTTGATAAGTGATAAAAAAAAACAGAGTCGCCAGATAATACGATTTAAATTACCAGACAGTAAATAAAAACGGTTTATATCAACCAGACAGTAAATAAAAACGGTTTATATCACTAGAAAAAAAAACGGTTTATATAAGTATCATGGAAGAAATGTGTCATATCTGTTCGGCTTGGAATAAATAACAAATTATAGTATTGCTGGCCGCCAAATAGAATA